CTTGATGAATGCAATTACCCAGGCCAAAGGGCTGAGCAGCCGAGGAGGAGGTGACATTCTCAAGAGTCTGTTCCTCAGACCAAGAACTTTCCCAGAAACGAGCACATCTCATGCGAGGTCAGATGGAGTGAGAATTTTATTGAGCCAATGGTGGCTCCTCCTGTGACCATGTCCTGAGATCAAAATCTCTGTGGATGAGAAGCTGGTGGAATTCAATGTGTATTTCCTGAGCGCCCCACCCTGCCAGGGCGTCTCAGAGGGAGGAACAGCTGGCAGTGTTTCCCTTGGACTCTCATCACCCTGTGGGCAGGGCCTCCTCATGCCCGCCCCTAGGTGAGATTAGTGAATGCTTCCCTCTCCCTCTGAGCACCTGCCTTGTGGGAAAATCATTGATCAAGGGTGGGGTTGGAGCACTCCGTGGTCCCTGGAAAGACCTCAGAGTCCCCCACGTGGTCTCCCCGGCCCACTCCCAGGGACAGTGAGACTCATGTGAGATCAGGCACGCAGGGGCATTTTGTACCAGGTTTATAGAATGGCTGGTTTTCACTGGGGTGGGCTGAAGGTGCGAGGCTTCTGCTCCTGATGGGATTTCTCAGGGTTTCTAGTAGGAATATTGTCCATACCAGAGAGTCTCCCCCAATGTCTTCATGCTGGTCTCCGTGGTTCAGGTCCCTGGAGCTCCCTCTTGCCCAGAACATCCCATTGAGACTTCTCACCTGGACTCTCACTTGGCCCTTCCTCCACTAACTCCTCTCCTCTCTGCTCTTCCTTCCCCGTGTCCCTGCCCCATGCACTCTCCGTTCCAATATCCCTGGGATCCAGGGACACAGTTCCCTTCATCTGTCCCCCAGTCCTCCATGACTGAGAGTGTCGAGTCTTCCAGAGAGAAAAGGCAGGGCTGCATTTTCTGGGATAACCCCAGTTCATTCCCAGGAGAAGGATGGGAGACGTAACCCCTGGTTGGCCTTAGCCTTGCACTTTTCCCAGAGCCAGCCTGGGTCTCTTTAGAAGATCACACACACATTCATGATCCCAGGGTTCATCAAATCCACACCCTGAAAAAGGCCTGGTGGTACCAGAAAACTTGGATTCATTTTACAATCCTGGCGAGGGCCCTTGGCCTCTTTGTGTCTTTGTCCTTTGCTGGGTCTGACCTTGTTCTTCCCATGAAACATACAGAGGGTAATTTTTTTTTCCTTGGGCTCTACCACGTGAGCTCTCGGGGAAAGCAAAGATGTGAATCGCCTCCAGACACATCTCCCCACCCCTCCTTCACTCCCTCCCTCCACCTTCTGCCAATCTCTATTGAAACCCGATAACTCCCTGGGTGGTCTCTCTCGCCTCAGATCAACTGAAAGGTGCTTCTTCCATTGAGGCGAATCTGCTGCCCAACTATCTGAGGTCAGCTCCACTTCCTGCGGCCCTGTGCACACACTTCAAGTCATTGCAGCTAGCTGTCACCTCTCCCCAAAGACTCCAGGGCCTTCCATCGCCCCTCATGTGACCGGATGTCTGATCGCCACCACCACTATCCTGGTCACTCTCCTCTCAGTGAGCTCCCACAGATGAGTGTCCTTGGACCTCAAAGTCCCCAAGTGATCTGGTTCTGGAGGAGCCTAGACAAGCTCTCTTCCTGGTTCCCATGGGTGCCTCCAGTGGCCACCACACCCTAGTGATTCACGTCTCCTCGCTGTCAGCTGAGTGCTCTAAATCATTTTTATACCTGCTGTTCTCCATCCACGTCTAACCTTCCCAGTCCTCGTTTTCTTGGTTTGGGGCTGTGAGCATAAGACCCTCATGTCTGCTCCCTCTCCCCTTCCCCTTGGGCAGCCCATCTGCCTGCTTTGCCTCTCCCAGCCTGTCCCCTGACCAAGACAGGTGAGACAGAGAGAAACTTCTCAGAGAGAACACAGGGCTGTGCCTGGGAACAGTGTCTTATCAATATGGTTGCAGTCATATTTGAATGAGTCCATATCCAAATTCCACCTGTGTTCCTTGAGGGAATGATAAAGTAGGTCACACTTTTCACAGGGCTCCTTTACACAGACACAGAAATACCACATTTGCAGTAACTTGATTGGAACTGGAGAGCGTCATCCTAAGTGAGCTAACTCAGGAACAGAAAACCAAATATGGCATGTTCTCGCTAATAAGTGGGGGGTAAACCAAGGGTCCACAAAGACATAGAGAACCGGTGTAATGGACACTGGAGACTCAGAAGCGGGGGAAGGGGAAGAGATACAAAAATCACCTCTTCTGTACAATGTGCACAGGTGGGGATGTTGGGTACATATAATGTCCAGACCAGTCTAGGCGTGGTGGCTCACACCTATAATCCTAGCACTTTGGGAGGCTGAGGTGACAGGCTTGCCTGAGCCCATGGGTTCGAGACCAACCTGGGCAACTTGGCAAGACCTCATCTCTACAATAAATTTTTACAAAATTAGCCAGGCATAATGGCACATGCCTGTAGTTCCAGCTACTTAGAAGGCTGAGGTGGAAGGATCACCTCAGTCCAGCAGGTCAAGACTGTGGTGGCTGTGAGCATGTCACTGTACTCCAGCCTGGGTAACAGAGACTTCAACTCAAAAAAATAAATAAATAAAACAAAAAATAAATAAAGTCCAGACCAAAACCATTTGTACCCCTAAAGCTACAGAAGTAAAAAAAGAAAGAAAGAGCTAGCACATCAATAGGGTGACAGCTAGCCCGATCCACTCTTGAATCTCTGCGCCTGTGCTTCCCTCTGGTCAAGTGACTAAAGAGGCCTCTTTTGATGACCCCGCCCAGTCAAATGGGCCTCAGCCCCTTCACTCCTGAGCTTTCTCCCGTCCAGCTCTCCCTCTTACTCCCACAGCCTCTCTTCTCTTTGAGTCTCTGTGCCAAGTTGTCCCCTGTCCAGAGGACCGTCCCTGACCTCCCCGCCCCCACCTCTCCTCCTCAGCCCTGTCCCACTCTCAGTCCTTCAGGAGCCTGTGGAGACCCAACATCCCTTCCCCAGCACCGACACCTGCTGTGGGTCCCACCGTCCCATCATCCCCCCGTTGTGGAGGCTCTGTCTGCATCCTTGCTTCCACCCTTGGACTAGGAGACACACAGAGGCACACACTCAAATGTCTCCCCTCTCTGAATCTGCCCTCCCCCCTCAGATGTGATTTGAGGTGTGATGACCCTCAGATTCGGATACATGTCATTCCACATTGTGTGCCCGGTGCCCAGGCTGCTGCCCGCCATGTGGTAGGAGCTGAATAAATGCCCATGGAACAATGGACTTTTGAATGATTGGCTGCTTTAGGGATTAGTAAGATCCTATCTACAAGGTCCTTCAAGATCATACATTACTTGTATGATTAAAATAATAGACTTGCCGGGCTCGGTGGCTCAGCCTGTAATCCCGCGCTTTGGGAGGCTGAGGTGAGTGGATTGCCTGAGCCCGTGGGTTCAAGACCCGCCTGGGCAGCGAGACCTCATCTCTACAATAAATCAAAAAATCAGCCAGGCGTGGTAGCGCATGCCTGTAATTCCGGCTACTTGGAAGGCTGAGGTGGAAGGATTGCCGGACCCCAGCAGGTCGAGGCGGTGGTGGCCGGGAGCAGCCACTGCACTCCAGTCTGGGTGACAGAGTGAGACTCCAACTCAAAAAAAAAAATAAAATAATAGATGTTAGCTTCCCAAATACAAATAATTCCAGAAGCCTGCAGAACTTCAAGATATAACTCATCTCCTGACCAGACAGCAGTTTGAGATCACAGAAAAATTTATTACGGAAACAGCAGAAATGCCAGACCCTCCCAGGTACAACTTTGAACCAGGAAATGATGAAGCCACAAGCACGCCCCAAGGGACCCACAGGGAGCCCTTCCGATACCCCAAGAGAACAATGGGTTTAGTGGCTGCGTCGGGACCTGGCTCGCAAGTGAAGGTGATTTTCAAGGCCCATGAGTTGACTGACACGTTCTCCTTCCTGCCACCTCCAACACATCTCAAACACCTTACATAAGACCCAAATGAGGGGTCAAATTCTCATAAAGTGCTCAGAGCCACAGAGAAGAAAGGGTAGAAGGGACTTGGGAGGCCTGAAAGAGAGTGTTCAACTGCCTTGCAGAACATAGGCAGCGTCCAGACCAACTAGGGCTGGGACCCTCCCAAGTCCCAAGTCAGCTCCTCAGACACCTGTATGGAGCAGAACTGGGCTGCACATGCCCTGCCAGCTGGGGGCTATGGAGCTGAGTTCAGGAAGGGCCAGGCTTTCAGAGAATGAGACTGACGGGAGGGGATGGGGCAGAAGCAGAACTTGCTTGTTCAGTTCTTCCATCCACTGCCAAACACAGGCTTCCCTCGGGCAAGAATTTGTGGCCCCATGGCCTCTGAAATACTCCCACCTGGGGCTGTTCCCATGGGCACAATGCTTCTGGAGACAGAGGTTCAGAATCAGGCAGACACGACTTAAGGATGTCTGATACTTGCCGCAAATCTACGCTCTCCATCAACGTGAGCGTATGCGGCTACGGACCAAGAGACAGCTGGTGGCCCCTGGTGTGGAGGGTGCCCTCACCAGACTAGCCTGCCTTGCAATCAGCTACTTGCCCACAGGGAGCATCTTGTGGCCCCCTCCTGAGGATGGATTCTCATCCACAGAGCAGCCTGGGGTTGAGACATGGACTCTCTCTCAATCATGTGCCTTGAGATGTTCTATGGCCCTTTTTCTCCATGGCTAGACGAGACCCCTGGGCGTCCCCAGGGACAGAAGCAGGGCCAGCGATGCCAAACCCGAGTGAGAATGTGCTGACCATAACCTTGACTGCAAGCTGTTGCCCTTCAAAGAGAGATCTGTTCTTTGGGCGTATCCACCCTGCTTCCCTACCTAGTGTCGAATGTATGGGCAAAACTGCTGAGAGCCATCAGGAAAAGTGAGAGAAGTCAGAAAGAGCTGGGGCTGGGGAGGGGACAGGAGGGGGCAGCATATTGGGTGAGAGGCCCAGGCATGGCCAGGCCGGCCTCTACTCCAGGACGCGCTTGTGGGAGGTGTTGGTGGACGTCTGGATGATCTGCACCCGCGAGGACCTGCCGCTTCTACCACTGCCGCTGCCGAACTTGCCGCTGCCTCCCCCGTAGGCCCCGCTGCTGCCGCTCCCATAGCCGCCTCCGCTTCCCCCTCGGGAACCTCCTGCTCCGTAACTGCCCCCACCGCCCCTGCGGGAGCCGCCACCACTGTAGCCTCCAGTGCTGTAGCCTCCTGAGCCATAGCCTCCAGAGCTGTAGCCTCCAGAGCTGCCTCCGGTGGTCACCTGGCTGTTCTGCACCGCTGTGGGGAGAGGGTGGTGCAGACGGGTCAGAAGGACTGGACAGGAGCATCCACCTGCGCCCGCTCCTGCACCTGCAGCTCCTATATTCTTTTTTTTTTTTTTTTTTTGAGTTAGTTGGAGTCTCACTCTGTCGCCCAGACTGGAGCGCAGAGCAGCCACTGCGGCCTTGACCCACTGGGCGCTGGTGATCCTTCCGCCTCAGCCTTCCGAGTAGCCGGAATTACAGGCACGCGCTACCATGCCTGGCTGATTTTTTGATTTATTGTAGAGATGAGGTCTCGCTGCCCAGGTGGGTCTCGAACCCACGGGCTCAGGCAATCCACTCACCTCAGCCTCCCAAAGCGCGGGATTACAGGCTGAGCCACCGAGCCCAGCTTCTCCTATGTTCTTAAAACCAGTAGTATCGACTTGCAAACAGACACACTAGAAGGTGCAAGTTCCATAAGAAAGGGATTGGCAGTAGTGGGAAACTGCCAAGGGAGCACGGGTGGGATTGGCAGTTGAGGGAAACTGCCAGGTGAGGGAGGGGCACACCTCATCAACAAGGGTACCTGCGCAATGAACATTTGTATGCCTAGCTCTGAGGTGTACCCCACATCTTTAAAATAAAAGAAAAAGAAAAAAAAGTTGCAAGTTCCTGTTTGAAAAGCATTCTTCATACTACAAAGTGACTCCAGGGCTCCTTGAAGCAACACATTGCCCTTGTTTGTGGGATATACCAGGGAATCTCCCCTGGTGTCTTTGTGCTGCCTCAGGTCCCTAGAGTAGTTCCCTCTAGGTCAGAACATCCCACAGAGACTCCTCACCTGAACTCTGAGAGTCTTTCCTCCACCAACCCCTCTCCTCTCTGCACTTTCTGTCCAGGCCCCTGTCCCACACACTCTCGGTTCCAATATCCCTAGGATCTGGGCACATGGTTCCCTCCATCTGTCCCCTAGTCCTCCGTGACAGAGAAGGTCAAGTCTTCCAGGGAGAAAAGGCGGGGCTGCATTTTCTGGGACAATCCCAGTTCATTCCCAGACGAAGGATGGGCCAGCCTGGATGAGAACCGAAGAGTTCTAGCCATGGCTGATTATTAGGCATCCTAAAACTCGAGACTAGCAGATCCTGAAATCACAACTGTTTATTCTAGCTGATTCTTCTGGGCCTTGTGGTGACACCGGCCAGGACTGGAAGCTAAATGCCAGATTTTCTGTTCCCCACTGGCCACCTGGGTAGTTTCCCAAACCCCTACTCCCTACCCCAGCCCAGTCCCACCCGCCTCTGTTGCTGGACTCCGCTACTTACAGATGCTCACTTGATTCTGCAACTCCCCTGACATCCTGTAAAACCAAAGTGCATGCGTCAGCCAGACCCTGGGGGCCAGAAGGAGGGAGAGAAGGCAGTGGCCTGAAGACATCAGGGACACAGCTGTCCCTAAGCCTGAGGGAAATGTGTGTGCCTGGGCAGAGGTCAGGAGCCTCCCAGCACTGGGGGTCAACACCGACCACCATGGCTGGAGTTGGTGAATGAGGACACTCTACTTGGAAGCCAAGGACTGACACTGATGACTCCCCAGCCGGCCGACTCACACAATCTTGCTTCTCACGTGAGTGTTTCTGCTCACCCTGTGTTACCAGGATTCTCTTCTCTCTGGATAGTCGGCCCCACTGCTCCATGGGTGGTCCTGAGCTTTGGCCCTGGACACTGGGCTGCAGACCCACCTGATCTCCTCGCCCTCCAGCAGCTGGCGGTAGGTGGCGATCTCCACGTCCAAGGACAGCTTGGCCCCCAGCATGGCCTGGTAGTCACGCAGCAGCCGGGCCAGCTCCTCCTTGGACTGCTGCAGGGCCTCCTCCATGTCCTGCAGCTTCTGCCCTGCGTCCTGGAGGGCCCGCTCGCCCCTCTCCTCTGCATCTGAGATGGCCGATTGCATGTGGTCGACCTGCTCCCGAGACAGCAGAGCCCATCGGAGACTGCGTGGAGTCCAGGTTATAGGATCCCAAGGGGGCCGTCATGGGAGGCAGTGGGCCCAGGCAGCCCTCCCTGTGCACCCATCCCACCTGCTTCCTCATGTTGCCAATCTCAGCCTGCAGCCTCTGCACCGTACGGTTGAGCTCAGCGATCTCCATCTTGCTGTTCTTCAGGTCGTCCCCATGTCTCCCCGCCGTTATCTGGAGTTCCTCGTACTGAGGGCCAGAGGCAGCAACACGGTCAGCACCTGCTGTCCAGCACCTGAGGCCCCCCAGGAGGGCAGAGGGCTGGGCAACTCTCCCCTGGGAAGTCCCCAGAGTAAGCCCATCTAGAGGGGTGATCCCCCCACATACACACTCACACCTGCACCAAGCCACCCTCACCTACAAACACACATCCACACACATCCACATCCACACACACACACACCCCCCAAGTCTCTCACTCCCACCAGTCTCTGGACAGGCTCTCCTCCCAGCCAGACAAACCCACTTTGTGATTCCCTTTTTTCCTCCTTTTTCACACATCTAAGTCTTCACACTGGTCCTTACCCACGCTGGGACCCCCCCTTCCTCTTTCCGCTCTATATTTTTTCCCACCCTCTTCCAAGACAATGTCCCTAGCCATCAAGCATGACCTCACATCCTCAGAGGCCCCCCAGCAAGCCCTGCATTCCTCCACATCTTCCTCTGTCTCTGGGTCTGCTTTGCCCTGTGAGTCTGAACTCCATCAATGGGCCAAGGCCTTGAAGGGATAGGGGTCACTGATTAGGGAACCTCCACATTCTAAGGTTTTTGCTGTTGACACTCTGCCTCTCAGCCTAACACTAAAATCCTTTCCATCCCAGAACACATGTCTGCAGGACAGAGGCACAGAAGTCAGCTGGGGTTAGAATTGGCCACAGGTAACCCATCAAGCAGATGGGTAAGTGTCAGCTGTTATAAGGACTGGGCTGTCAGCCTTCGCTACTTCAGCCAGCGTCTTCACCATCCAAAAAGGTCCAGGTTGATTTACGGTGATGAAGCAACCAAAGATATGCCCAAAGACTTAGCTACAAAGATGTGTATCTAATAAGAGGGTATCATGCTACAATCTAATATCCCACCATTAAAAATGAGATAGGGGCCAGGCACAGTGGCTCATGCCTATAATCCCAGCACTTTGCGGGGGCCAAGGCAGGAGGATTGCTTGTGCCCAGGAGTTTAAGATCAGCCTGAGAAACAGAGCGAGACACCGTCTTTTACAAAAATTTTAAAAATTAGCCAGGTGTGGTGGCACACACCTGTAGTCCCAGCTACTTGGGAGGCTAAAGCAGAAGGAGTGTCTGAGCTGAGGAGGTCAAAGCTGCAGTGGGCCATGATCATGCCACTGCATTCCAACCTAAGCAACAGAGTGAGACCCTGACTCAAAATAATAAGAAGAAGAAGATGGACTATTTTGTGTCAGCAGAAGACATTAAGTGACAAGTAAAAGAGAGAAGTAAAAAGCTGCATTTTAACATTATGAAAAAAATAAATAAAATCTGAGTGGTTAGGAGCATGGGTTCATAAACAGACACCTGAGTTAGATTCAGTTCTGGCTCTGCTAAGTCTACTAACGACAAGACTTTAGGGAAACTGGGTGACCTCACACTCTATGATCTATAAATGGCGATAATGACATTCTCTCCTCATTGGTTGTTCTGAGGGTTGAATGAAATAACAGACATGAAGCGCTGTGTGCATTCCCTGACATATATGAGTTCTCAATCAATGTTAGCTCCAAAGAACAGGTAGAAAGATGCTAACATATTAATAGTAGCAGTGAGGTGTGGGGTAATCTTTACCTGCAAATACTAGAATTTTTATGACAAACATGTTTTACTTTAGAAATAAGAGAAGGACCAACCAATCCAAAAAAAGAAGCACAGATGCTGGGAAGACTGTGTTGTTTTTCTGGGCATCGAGTCTAGGGCAGCACCCACCTTGGTCTGGTACAGGGCCTCGGCCTCATCCTTGCTCTTCTGCGCGATCAGCTCATACTGCATCCGCACCGCATCGATGATGCTATCCAGGTCCAGGGAGCGGTTATTATCCATGGACAGGATGACGTTGGTGTCGCTGATGTGGGTCTGCATCTGGGACAGCTCCTGCAAGGCATGGGGCACCGGCTGAGTCCTCCCACTCTCCTCCTAGTGCCTTGGTTTCCCTCTATTGCTCCCTCCAGGCTCTCTGGGGAAGCCAGGAGCCTGGGCCAGGCAGGAGTCTTGGGGAAAAGTGTTCTGAGTTATGTGTCATGAGAGATAAGTTTTAAAAAGTTAAATAATAGCCAGGTGTGGTGGAGAGCATTAACTGCCTCAACTAACTGCCTCAACTAAACATGGGAGGACCCAGGCTTAGCCTTCAGGGAGAAGGTCTGAACGTGCAGCCCTTGCAGACGCCACCTCCCCATCACTCCTCCCCTGCACCCTCTGCCCCTGGCTGACTCTGGCTTGGCTGCCATCTTGAACCAGGTCCCTGGCAAGCATGCTTGCTCTTTGAAACCACATGGGCGAAAGAAAGGATTCCAGCTGTAGAGACGCTCAGATTCTCTGTTGAGTCCTGGCTGTACCATCGACTAACTGGGTGACTGAGCAAGTCATTGAGTCTCTCACTGCCCCAGAGGCACAGTGCATCTATAGAAAGGAGATGCCCGACTGGGTGTGGTGGCTCACACCTATGATCCCAGCACTTTGGGAGCCCAAGGTGGAAGGACTGCTTGAGCCCAGGAGTTTGAAACCAGCCGGGGCAACATAGCAAGACACTGTCTCTACAAAAATTTTAAAAATTATCCCAGGTGTGGTGGGATAACTACACCTGTAGTCCCAGCTAGTCGTGAGGCTAAGGCGGAAGGATTGCCTGAGCTGAGGAGGTTAAGGTCGCAGTAAGCCCTGATCGTACCACTGCACGCCAACCTGAGCAACAGAGTGAGACCCTGGCTCAAAATAAATAAATAAATAAGATGAACTACTCATCTCACCAGAAGACATTTATAAGTGACAAGTAAAAGAGAAAAGTAAAAAGTTTGTCTCTACCAAAAAAAAGTTAAAAAAATATCCAGGTGTGGTGGTACGTGCCTGTAGCCCCAGTTACTCAGGAGGTTGAAGAGGAAGGATCACCTGAGACCAGGAGGTTGAGGCCGCTATGAGCCATGCTTGTACCACTGTATTCCAGCCTGGGTGACAGAGTAAGATCTCAACTCAAAAAAAAAAAATAACAAAAAACTTAAAAAAAAAAAAGGAGATACCCATAACATGAGCAAAGCTACTAACACAGCATGTGGCCCAGGGCAGGTCCCCCCAAGTTAGACACAGGCAATAGGGGGCGCTCAGTGGAGGAAGAAGGATTATCACCACCACAGCCTGTCTCCGCTCCCTTTAAGATCCACACGGTCATCCTCAGCAGAGTTCCCCAGTAGCCCTATCGACAACCCGGAATCAATGACGATTCCTGGTTGGTTTTGCCCTTAAGTGTCTTGATGTTAACCTCATCTCTGAGACAGATCAGGAGCTGCGATTCAAGGATGATTTCACCTTCCTCTTCCTCTGGATGCTTCCTGCCCCCCATCCCCACTGCCTCCACCCAGGGAGTCTGAGGTTTGGGGGTTGAGAGGCTGGCTGGCTCCAGGCCCACAGAGTTGGGGCAACTGGGAAGATGAGTCCCTGTGGGGTTTCAGACCTCCCGCTCTTACAGTCCATGACCTTGTGAGAGGTGAGAAAAGAAAGGCACTGTTAGGGCTGAACTAACTCACCGTCATAAAAAAGTATTTCAGGAAATCAAGCTCCCCCAGCAGGGTGTCCACCTTGGACTGCAAGTCCACTTTGTTCATATAAGCAGCATCCACATCCTGGACAACAAGCAAAAACAGAATGGCTTTACCACCCAGGCACTGACTGCCATCAGCTCGCTGGGTGGCCCAGCCAAGTGGCAAGCCCTTCTGGGCTAATTTCCTTGCCTGAAAATGTCATCACCTCACTCAAATAAGGAAGCTGCAAGCTCTAGCTTTCCTGACTAGAGAGAGGTGTGACACCAACCCCCATACCTTAGTCACACAGCACCCCAAGTCCTGCCTCACATCCCAAGGCCACATGTAACTGACAATCAGAAGTTGTCAGCTGTTTTCATTTCACTTTCAGGATCTTCTAGGGATAAGAACTCAAAAGTTCCTAATGTGTCATATTAGTTTCAGCTTCAGACGTGCCCTTCCATGTAAAGGGCAACCACACAGCAAAGCGGCCCCAGAGCTTACCCTGTCCTTGTCACGGAGCATCTCAAGGGGAGTCCTTACTCCACTCAACCTCCTGGGTCCACAGCCCCCACCCCCAGGGATGTCCCTTCCCCTCACCTTCTTCAGGACAACAAAGTCATTCTCGCTGTTGGTCCTCTTGTTGATTTCCTCCTCATACCTGTGGGGGGAGGCAAGAAACAGCAGACTGCAGGGGCTGACTGTGGCTCCCTGAGGTTTCTCCTCATAGCGGAAAGCTCAGACATCCCCAGACTTTTGCTGTCCTGGATCTGGAGAACTCGCTCTAGATGTCCACTGGTGGCTGGAGTCAGTCCTGGTTCTCCAAGCCAACAGAGGGGACCACAGCCCAACACAGAAAACCCAGGACCACAGAGAATGTCCCAGAATGTCCATTTTTATTCTTATGTTTTACCTTTGTAAAGGGGTCAAACTCAAACATTTGTTTTCCATTGAAAGCATAAAATAGCAACCACTTTTACTAAATTTTTTTAAGGGAAAAGTTTCCCCTGCGATTCTTGCCCCCAGCCCTCTAGTGTGGGTTTCACCTTTCCCTTGTTGACTCACACAGCTCTCTGCCAAAATGGTAAGAGAAGCACTCTGCGCCCAAGTACCCTGCACCCACACCCACATGGGGAGGGAGAGAGAAGCAGAGAGCACCCAGTCCCCTGCACACCTGGGAGCTGCTGATATGGAATTGGACAACTCCTGTCGCCCCTACTGTTACTAATAATCATAGCTAGTGCTTAGTATGTGCAGGCCACAGTACTGAGAACGTATTAAGCATCACATCCTCCTAGCCAGCCGTTCTCAAGTGTGGTCCCCGATCTACCAGCAGCAGCCCTCCTTGGAAACATGTTAGACATGCAAACATTCTTGCCCCATCCCAGACCTACTGAATCAGAAACTCCAGGCATAGGGCCCAGCTATCTGATTTCAGCAAGCTGATGCATGTTGACGTCTGAGAACCACAGATCTACCCATCACAACACTTCCACGAGGAGGGTGCTTACGGTCCCACTTGACTCACACGAAAATGAAAAGACTTGGAAAGAGAAGCCTGCAGGCAGCTAGCACACGGCAGAGCCCACACAGGAACCCAGGCTTCTCCAACTCCAGCATCTGTGAAACTATCCTGCCCCTCCCCATGCAATATGATGAGCAACGGGCTGCCGAGAGCAGCCCGCCAGGGCTGCCCCCTGCAGAGTGCGGCCCCGCCTCTTACACAGAGCAGAAGGTCTTGCCCCGTGACTCAGTTTCCCATTGTGCTTCCCCGCTTTGTCCTGCCTGGAGCCTCACTTGTTCTTGTAGTCCTCCACGGCATCCTGCATGCTCCTGGCCTCCGTGTTCTGGCGCATCTGCTCGGCATGGAGGAAGTCCACCTGCCTCTGCAGGTCTCTGATGTAGTTCTCCAAGACCGGCTCCAGGTTGTTGGACCAGGTCGAAGTGTTCACCTGCTGCAGCAACTCCCACTTCGTTTGTAGCACCTGGTTCTGCTGCTCCAGAAATCGCACCTAAGGGCAAGAGGCCACAGCCCACCCCAAGTCGTGGGTCAGAGCAGCTCCCCATGAGTAGGGGGGTGGCAGCCCCACAGCCTATCTGGACCTCAGAGAATCAGGATGGCCCCTGCAAGGGTCAGAGAGTGCCACTTTCTCTGGGACCAGGACACACAGAAGGCAATGTGGTTTCTGGTGGTTGGCCAATGGCTGTAAGGTCAACTTGCCTACAATTGACACTAAGCTCATGCTGGGCCAGGCATGGTGGCTCATATCTATAATCCCAGTACTTTTGGAGACCGAGGCGGGTGAATCACTTGAGGCCAAGAGTTCAAGACCAGCCTGGGCAACTTAGTGAGACTCTGAAAACAAAATAATTTTTTTAAACGTGCTGGGCTTGGTGGCATGAACCCATAGTCCTAGTTACTCAGGAGGCTGAGGCAGGGGGATCACTTGGGCCCAGGAGTTCAAGGATGTAGTGAATTGACAGCACTACTGCACTCCAGTCTGGACAACAGAGTAAGACTCTATCTCTAAAAAAAAGTTCACTCTGGTTCTGAAGGCAAATGACTTCCAACAGAGTGCCTTGTTTCCTTTAACCAAACTATTTACATCATAGAGTTTTTACCCTCCACATTCCATTTATTCGTGCCAACAGAAGGAATTGTCAACACAAGAAACATCTGAAACACTAACAAACCCAAGGCTCTTTTCTCTTTGTGGTTGAAATTTGTTATATGGTAGAGGAGAGGAGGAAATAAGACAAGGAATCATTTGGCTTGGAATACCAGATGGAACTGATTCCTGAGCAGATGTGCTTGGGTGTCCCCACCCTGAATCTACCTCCACCTCTGCAGCCTGTTGAGAATTTTCAGGAAAGTAACCTCATTTGAGTGCTTTCGCAACCCAGATGCAATTTTTTAAAGCGAATATTCACATATCTGTTTGATGCACAATGCATTCAAGTACCCCAAAGGGCTCTGGGTTGTCATGTGTCTGGGAAATGCCCGAGTTGCTGTTTTCTTTATTAGCCCAGGAAATGATGAGTGGACATCACACTGTGTTTTCATTACCTCTTCCCCCAAAACTGTGAACACAAAGGCTAGATACTGGGTCCCCAGCCTGTGGACACAAAGGTTGGATACAGGGTCCCCAGACTGTGAACACAAAGGTTAGATACAGGGTCTCCAGACTGTGGATATAAAGCTTAGATGCAGGGTCCTGTGAGATGATTGGCTGTGCAGAACAAGTGCATAGATTCTTTCTCGTGGTCATGGTCAACTGTCCCCTTCCCTCGACCAGTGGCGCATGATGGTGCCACCACTCCCATGTCCTGAGAGAAACAGGGCTGCAGCCTCTGTACTTCACTCAAACACATGCATGTGTGCACACATGCACATATACCCTCCAGAATCAGGACCCGCTTCTCCAGGAACTGTGCAAAGGAACAAATCCACTGCTCTGAGGGGTCAAGACGGAACCCCAAAGCCAAACTCCGGCCGGCCATGGGGCATTAAGGAGGACCCCTGGCCCTTGATACCCTATCCTTGTGAGGAGGCAGCCCTTCTCAAGCTGACTCCAGGCTGGGAAGTGTCTGCGGAGAGCTCTCTCCCAAGCCTGGCTCTGCTATTCTTATCAAAGCAAGAGATTGGGCAACTGACTCTCACGGACTTGTCGGCACAGCCTGGAACACCCCCGTGAGAACTGCCAGCTGCTGTCTATTTTTACAGTGTGGTGACACTCCCAGGGAGTGGAGAATCCATTCACGCTCACTCACAGCCCAGTTCACAGTGGCGGTGGCATCATGGGGATCCAAAGAAAGAGTCTTGCGGTCACATGAGGAGCCTCCCCATGAAGCAATGAGGAAGTGGTTAGACAGCTCTTGGTGCCCCGGGTTACCCTAGCACCCCACCCACAAGCCCTCAGGAGCTCCGTAAAAGACCCTGGCTCTCACCAGGCCCCCAACTGCAAAGCAGGCTTCCAGGACAGCCATCACCAGAGAACAATCATCAAAAGCCACTGTGTTTTTCCCAGGTTCCCAAAACATCCCTGGGCTGCTCAGGAGGAGTTGGCCAACCCAGATGGAATTCAGCGCCATGCTGAGCCAACATCCTCACCCACCCCTGCCCCGGTACCCCCCTGCACAGTGACTTCCCAGTGCCCCCAGCACCCCAGGTCTCCCCAGCTCTTGGCCTGCCAAACTCCTGCTCACCCTCCAGCTCTCAACTAAAGTGACACCCACTGGTGTCTCCCCTTCATAGCCCCTCGTTCTCTGCCTCTATGGCATCTGTTGAGATGTGCAGGCATCGGTGTGTTTGAGCATCTGTCTCTCTGGACTGGACTGTGACCTGCATGAAGGCTGGCCCATATCAGGGACTCAACAGACCCATGGACACACAGTGCCCAACAGAGAGGATGGTAAGCATCCTGTTCCCGTGAAATGCACAGGGCTTTAGGTTGCTGCCAGCGTTGGCCGTTCAGGCCACCCCTACCCCAGCACAGAGGTCAGCTGAGCAGGGCCAGACCAGGGCCCCTGGGATGAGCTAGACCCCTCCTTTCCTTCCTGTGTCCGTTTCTTTGTCATTGCTTCTCAAATACCCTTTTTCTCCACTCCCTGGGGTTCCAAGCCTGACCCCGAATGGCTGACCAATTTGTCATTCAACACGTATTTATCGAGCAGTTATGTGCCAGGCAATGTTGTGGGTGCTGGGAGCTTGATAATAAACAAAACAGACCAAATCTCTGCTTTCTAGGAGTTTACACTCTTTTCGGAGAGACAATTGTAAAGAAACATTCGTTCATGTCGAATGGCTGTAGGGACTGTAGAGACGAATAAGGCAGGGCTGGGGAACGGGAATGCTGGGGTGGCGGGAACTGCTTTAACAATGTCGGCGAGGGCTTTGCTGAGATGGCGGCAACTGAGCAAAGACCTCCAAGGAGGCGAGGGAGGACACTGGGCTTCTCTCTGGGGGGAAGAGTTGCAAGCAGAGGGCATGACAGGTGCAAAGGCCTTGAGGCAGGACCGCACTTCGAGAGCTGGTGAACAAGCAGAGAGCAGGCAAGGAGGCAGAGGGCCCAGGCCCCTGCAGACGGGTGTGAGTTGGCCCCTGGGGCTACCTTCCAGCCCCCACCCTGCCCACTAGCCCTTGCTTGAGAGCTGCTCCACCCAGGAAGGGCAGCGTTGCCGAATTCTCCCAAATGCAAGTGAGTGTTAGCAGCAGCTGTGGGCCGGAGGGCCAGATCTCATAGGGCCTCATCTTTGTTGGCTTTTATTCCGAGTGGGACAAAAAGCCACTGGAGCATTAAAACGGAGGAGTGACGTGGTAGGCTCTCAACGGACAGCTCCACTGGGGTGCTGGGATGGGCAGAAACAGGGTTAGGGCCACAGCAGGCTGACCAGCTTGGAAATCAAGGTCAGAAGTGCTCCAGCTAGGCCAGGGCCACCGGGCCGAGGAGCCCCTCCCACATTAGCACAGGCTATGCCTGCAGGAGCACAGAAGGTCAAGATCCCTGGCAGCTCGAGACCCATGCCATAAAGCTGGATAGATGCCCCACTGAGGCAGGAGCTGTCGTCAGATGAGGGTCTAGGAGGTCAGTGGGCCACAGCCTGCAGTTGTTTCCCTGTTCCCAGCCCCCCTCCCTGCTCCTCCCTGGATTCAGCCTTGGCCTCCCAGTAATAAGTCCTTGCTCCAATCAAACCCTCCTACTCCCTGCCTATGCCAGGGCAGGATGAGATTCAGCTGACTTTCCTAGGTGGTCAGAAGCGCCAGAAGCGCTCTGTTCCGTGCCGCTCCTCTCCAGCCAGTTCTGGCCTCAGCACCCCCAAACCTCCTCCCATCCCCTCTCCCCTCCTGATCATGCCTTGCTATCTCCTACATCTGCCCTGATATCACTGGCCTGCCCTGGGCCCAACATGGCCTCTGGCCACAGCTACCCCAGTCAGGCCACAGGTCATACTCTGGCCTCAACACTGACCTCCTGAGGCAACTGGGAGAAAGTCACTGAGTATGCAGGGGCCTTTGTGCGTCAGGCACTTCCCACCGCAGCCCCGAAGGCAAGGTGCTTTCTGGAAGGCTCTAGCAGTCGCCCCACCTCTCCCTCTGACAGAAGGGAAGGCCAGAGGAAAGTCTTTACTGCCACGACTCCACCCACCTATGCCTAGTGGTTTAGAGGTAAATGGTTGATCAGAGAACTAAGGAGAGGCTTCCATGTCTCCATCTGACCCATCCTTGACCCTGAATGAGCCAAGAGGAGGAACTCAGAGTCCTGCATGGCATACTACCGACATTAGACCCCAGAGAGACCCTTGCACCAGGGCATTCGCCCGGGCCCTGCCACAGCTTGCCCAGCCCTCTCCTCTGCCTGGCCTCTGGGGCTTTACCTCCCGTTCTCTCCTCTGGGATGCCATGTTCTCCAGGAATTTTAACTCAAATTCCATGAAGGTGTCACACTTTCATGCCTCCGGGTCCTTCTGCCTGAAAAGTGCCCTGAGAACCTGCTTGACTCTTCCTCTGCCTTCCAGACTCGGGTTGGACCTGGGGCCCCCAGGGAAGCTCTACCAGAACCCAGCAGGCAGTGCTCATGGCACCCTCCTTTGAGCTAACACAGCCCAGAGATTACTACTCCTATTAACACCCTTCCCACACACTCACACACTCTCCCCTTTAGACACGGGCTCCTTGATGGCAGGACCTATGCCCTGGTCACCCTCAAAGCACCTTGCAGCCTATGGTAGGGGTCCCCAACCCCCAGGCCGTGGACTGGTACCCATCTGGGACCTGTTAGGAACCAGGATGCACAGCAGGAGGTGACCCACGGGGAAGCAGAACTCTGCACCTGTCAGATCAGTGGCTGCAATAGATTCTCATAGGAGCACAAACCCTACTGTGAACTGCGTATGCAAGGGATCTAGGCTGTGTGCTCCTTAGGAGAATCTGATGCCTGGTGATCATCCCCAACCCTCGACTACAGAAAAACCATCTTTCACAAAACCGGTCCCTGATGCCAGAAGAGTTGGGGGCCGCTGGTCTATGGCATATAGATTTAGTAACATGTTTACTGAGATGCTTAGCAAATATCTGCGAGCTAAATGGGTTGACAGATGGGTGGATAGTTGAGTGGATGGACAAACGTGTGAGTATGTGAATGTATATGGATAGGTGGGTGTGTGTATGTGGATGAATGGGTACATGGGTGCATGGGTGAATGGAAAATGAACAGTGATAAGTGAGAATTAGCGTACTACACTGTGTAACTGTTGAGTATTTTCACACCCCTTATCTGCCTTCCTGCCAAGAGGAAAAGTTAGAAATAAATCCCCCTAAGGGGATAAATTAAAGCTTAAATGAGGTCAATGCCTTCCTAAGGCTCAGGACACACACATCCGGAAGTGACTGTCACTGCCAACTGAAACAGCAGGTGTGGTGAAGGTGGCAGGGTACCAGGCCCTTTAGCCATTTGATCAGTGACCAAAGACACTTCCTGCCCGTGAGATACTCACCTTGTCGATAAAGGAGGCAAACTTGTTGTTGAGAACCATGATCTGCTCCCGCTCCTGGGTCTTGATCCTCTGGATTTCAGGGTCCACCTCCAGGTGCAGTGGTTCCAGGAGGCTCTGGTTGACGGTCACTTCTTGGATGCCCCCCGGAGGGCAGGAAGGACCAAAGCCCCCGAGCCCAAAATTGCTAGCCCCAAATCCAGCACCCCCAAAACCACCTCCTCCAAAGCTACCACCTCCAAAACCACCACCCCCAAAGCCTCTGGCTCCTCCGAATCCTCCCCCCGCTCCCCCACCCTGGCGGAAACCACTGGGGCTTCTCCCCACCAGGCTAATGGAGATACTTTTACTGCCCCCCAGATTGTAGAGGCTCCTAGAGCCAAACCCCATCCCATGGCCCCTGTAGCCACCACCGCCACACCTCCCCCAGGCATGGCACACCGACCCCACAGCCCGACTTCCACCACCATAGCCCGAGGAAGAGCTGGTGCTGTAAACCCGCCTGCTCCTTGAGCTAAACGCAGACCGAGAACTAAATTGGCGGTTCATGGTTGCTGGAGCATCCAGAGAAAACAGACAAGAGAAAGGGCCCGACTGGAAGGAGGCAGAGACCAGGGAGGGAAGGAGCTCTCACTCTCTTGGAAGCAATCTGGCTCTGTCCCTATATATACATGCTTTCTGGGCTGGGCGCCTTCAGAATCCTGGGAGGGGAGTTGTAATGTTTAGTCTGCCTGCCAGCAACATCTGCTTACAGCCTCACACCTAAGAGTTGCCGAAATTGCATTGCAGACAAACTTCCCCAACTTGATCATTTATCATTCATCTCTGTCGTGTAGAGAACAGAGTGCAACAATCTCTCAGGATCTAGTTGCTGGAACCTCCTAGATGGTTTCCCCCCAGATCATTCATTGATCTCTTCCTAAGAAACCCCAGCATCGAGTTGTTTGTTCTGGGGGTGTGCCTGGGCAAAACTGGGGGATGTCCGGCCACCTCAGGACCATAGCTGGGACAAGGGTGGAGACACCTGCTATCTCAGCATTGTCCTGGTGGGGCAAAAGTTTTGTTCTGACCCCCACTCCTGTTGTGTAGACCCTGCTTCTGCTGCCTGCTATCATCATCACCACGAGCACCCCAAGTTTTATCACATGGAAACAGGGTGTTGTGGTCACTGAGCACGAGTGGGAGTCCAGGGACTCTGCCCAAGGTCACTCCCATTGCATGCCACTTGATAAGCCCTCAAACACAAAACAGACCAGGTCCTTCAGCACCAAAGGTCTGTGGCTATAGATTTGTGGAGCACCTACCAGTGTCTCCTAGTCCTCTAGACCAGGAGACAGACCATCCCCAAATACCTTTCTTTCTGTTTTATCATTTCCAATCCATTATAAAAGATACTTTTGTAAGATAGAATAAAATAAATTACCCTTTAAAGGTGACTAAGAAATAGATATACAAAACATAAGCTCTATTTTTAAAAAATATTTAGATTCAGCAAAGTAGTCCAACTGCTAAAAATAAAAAAAAACAGACCAGGTGTGGTGACTCACAACCACAATGCCAGCGCTTTGGGAGGCTAAGGTGGCAGGATTGCTTGAGCCAAGGAGTTCAAGACCAGCCTGAATAATATAGTGAGATCCCATCGCTACAACAAATTTTAAAATTAACCAGGCATGGCAGCATGCACCTGTAACCCCAGTCACTCAGGAGGCTGAGAAGGGAAGACCACCTGAGTCCAGGAGCTTGAGGCTGTGATGAGCTATGACCATGCCACTGCACTCCAGCCTGGGCAACAGTGTAAGACCCTGACTCAAAATAAAAAAATAGAAGAATAACAATACTAAGTCTCTAAACTTACTCTCAAATTCTGTACTCACCTCAAAGAGCCTATGGGCCAGCACTGACCTGTACCCACTCTTTGAAAGGGCATCCTGGACAGCACGCCTAGGAGAGCTCACTCCATGAACACCAGTGACGGCCGACAGAAGCACTGGACTCACATCACTGTGACTTTCATCCAAAATGTAATTTTTTTTTTTTTTTTTAGCATTGGGGAAAAAAACAAAATGTCCAACCTCCGGAAAACGGCTATGTGAGATGGCTTGCCATGAGATCCAATTATTTAAAATCATCATCTGCCATGAAGACCACACAGCGGAACTGAAAGACACTTGTGACACCATGTGAAAGGTGGGAGCAGAAGAAACCATGGGGCCTGTGATGGGAACTCAGACAACTCAGGAATGCAGACCAGGCAGTCTTCAAAGTTAGCGTGGAAAGTGAGTTGATTTATTAGGGATTGTGGCAGGCTTTTTACTCGTGTTCGTGCAATATATATTTTTGCAAGAGTTGTGGGTAGAAGTCCCAGTGGAGGTAAGAAATGGAAGGCAGGAAGGAAGAAAGGTGTCCCAGGGCTGGGAGAGGCTCTGGGGGCAGCTCCAAGCCTCCACACCTTCTTATTATCAACCTCTGCATCCCACACTGGGTAACTGTTTGGTAGGTTGCCCAGGAGACTCTGGGAGAGAGAAAAGCAAGTGAGCCTGATATTGATAGACAGAAGAGCTGGTTTCGATTCAGCCCCGCTTCTTCCAGGCAATCTCTTCTTAGGCTAGCCGCTTACTCTAGAGCCTCAGACACTTAAAGAATCAAAGTGTCGCACAGTGGCTCACGCTTATAATCGCAGCACTTTGGGAGGCCGACGTGAGAGGATTGCCTGAGTCCAGGGATCTGAAACCAGCCTGGGCAACTTGGTGAGACCTCATCTCTACAATAAATCAAAAAACTAACCAGTTGTGGTGGCGCATGCCTGTAGTCCCAGCAACTCAGAAGGCTGAGGTGGAAGGATCGCCTGAGCCCAGCGGATAGAGCTGCGATGGCCATGAGCGTGCCACTGCATTCCAGCCTGGGCAACAGAGTGAGACTCTGACTCAAAACAAAAAACAAGACATCAAAGTACCTATTTCTCAAGAATTCAGTGTTTAAAAAGTATGGTGGGGGGAAGCACAGAGCATGCAACCACTAAACAAGCATATATACAGCTGCTCACAGATCCTGGAGGGTGACGACTATCCTAAGTGGCCTGGGATTTTTCGGTGCATAAACCAGGATAGTCCCAGGCAAGTCAGGACACCCATTCTAGGCACCTATGGTCTACACAGCCCTACTTCTAGCCCTCACATCTCTGGAGAGCTCTTGGTAGGAGAGGGAAGCCAGGGCTCACCCCTGGGTACTGAGTGACAAGGAGAAGGCCATCAGTGGCAGAGAAGGAGAGGAAGTGGAGCCAGGCAGTGGGATGGATCCAGGGGAGAAAGCTGCCCAAAGGGAAGGAGTTTGAGTCATACAGAGGCAGAGAGGACAAAGCAGGAGGAAGAGGCAGAGGTCCAGCAGAGAAAATGTGGGATATCATGGAGAAGGAACAGTAGATCCCATACAGGAAGTGGCAGTGGTATAGTGAATAGATCCTTGAGCTGGGCTTCTTGAAACCCAACTTTGACTTCTAGCTCTGTCCCTTCCTAACCCTGTGGCTTGGACACTTAGTTCCATGAGCCTGAGTTTCCCGCCTCTAAAATAAAGACAATACACTAGCTTTATAAGGTGACTATAGCAGTGAAATGACAAAAGACTAATAAAACTAACTCCATTATAGACTGGCAAGGGCCTCTCTGGCCTGTGTTCGTGCTTACACATAGAATTTTAAACACTGAATAATTTTAAAACACTGAAAAGATATAGGAACAAGTATGCCACTGTCAAGACTAACTGTAGAAAAAAGGGGCATATGGACACTAGTTATGCTTTGTTAAAGATGTAAAGGAACATCGTGACGTGACTAAGGACAAAGAAGCTTCCCAACCCCTGTACCTAGTTTTTCCCAAGCTCGTTTCCCTTTAACAACTCTCTGATCAGCCTGAGGAACTTGAGATGGTCTTTAAGACATTACTATGCCATCTCCTCAGGTTGCTGTCTCTTAATCAGCCTGCTTTCCTTTTCACCAATCCTTGTCTCTCGAGTTGGCTTTTGAGCGATGAGCAGCCGAACCTGAGTTTGCCTACATCATGGGTAGCTGAGATCAAATATGGAGGAGCACGTTGTAAGCCCCAAGGAGTCACCCAGGTGAGGCTCCTTTCCCCAGCCCCTTCATGTGACCCCGTCTCTCTCACCTGCCAACAATACTTTTCTGCACCATGCATCTTCAACCCCAGTCATGGCGAACGTGTGAAATTAACCCCTTTGCATCGGTCTCTTCTGCCACCTAAGCACATAGGAAGCTCCTTGATGCTGGGATGAAACTTCAGGGACTAAGAGCCCCTTTCTTCTTCCAAAGGTCCCTGTGGGCTTGCTAGGTACAGAGGTGCCCATAGCAAAGACCTCTCCTACCAAGTTAAGTGAAGACTAACTCATGGACATCTTGGAAAACCGAGAGCCTGGGTTCCAGAATTAGGTGGCCCTGGAGTTGAAGACCCGGTCCACCTTCTACTAGTTTTATGATTGAGCTTATTACTGAGCTCTCTGAACCCTACCCATTTGACACTTAAAGCATATAGACAACACCTGAAGATAATAAATGTTTTTAACTGATGGCTATTATGATTGGTGTTAATTTGTGGCTATGAGTACAACTTCAAGACCTATGAGTGCCTCAGGAGTTTTTAGAAAGAGAAGCATCAGGAGAAGTCTTCCCAGAAGCAAGGGCCAGCTCAAGTAAGCCTTGAAGGATGTGCTGCACACACACTGGCAGGCACTCTGGGGTAGCGGACTGAGACGGGGGAGGGACAAGAGAACTGCTTATGTCAAACCTAGAGGAAGAAGTGGGCATGTGAGGGGCAGGATGTGTGTGACCATGAAGGGGCCACCCTGCCTTGAGGGAAGAACCAGCAAACAGTGGGACCTGGGCTTGGCTGAGTCAAAGAGGGTCCCAGCAAGGTCTTGAAGTGGAATTTGTTTGGCACTCAGCCAAGGGTATATGTACCCTTATGCACAATGTGGAAAATATTACATTGTGATAAAGTACAAGTGGAAATCCCAGCCAGCAGAGGTTAGGAAGCCTCTTTGGTCTCTGGCTGTGACCAGCTGCCAGAATTCAAGGTCAACAGCCTAGTCAATCCCTCATCAGTTGATGACCCCTGGGAATCTGAAGAGCTTGGGTGGGAAGGAGAGTCGCCCAGCAAATACTACTAACAGAGCCTTTGGTAGAGCATGATAACTACTCTCTACTTCCTCAAAGCAAGAAAAAATAGATTTAAAGTGAAGCATGCAAAATTTTGCTTGTCCTGAAAAAGAGATCTAACCTCGGTTTATATAATATTAAAGGAT